GAACCCAGCGTCACCTAGTCTTCTGCGAATCGTATCTCTGGATATCCCGGGATCCCTGCGATTTGGTAAATGGCATTGAATCGATGATAGCTTAATTTGTTGGTGCACACGTGTCAGCTCTTTTAATTTGTGATCATCTCGCGCACTGGTGGCCCGGGTACGTGAGAGACACTATGGCGGCTGACTATGCATGCCTTCACTGAGCGACTTTTTCCAACAACAGAAAACGAGCATATCACTTCAGCCCATATGACGGACGATCGACCTGTTCGACCATTCTAACTCTTTTAGCCTTGTGATGCATCTCCTCTCAAAGTCTGACAACTGTTCGTAATAACGCTGTCGAGTACGTCTTAAAAGCATCTGTCGTTATGTCATGTATCCAAGCCGTCAGCGCGGTTGTAAATGCTTGTTACTCGTCGCACCTCCCTTTTGCATTCTACCAGCTGCGCACTTCAGACGTTGTATTGCTTCACAATGCTGGTGCTGTAAGTTTTATCATTTACATAACTCACCAAACCACATTTGCATACTGCATTTCTTAGCCACGGCTCAATTTTTTCTGAGTTCATATATTTTTGGCAATAGAGTGTATATACTATGTGTATCATTAAAACTTCTTAATAAAATACACAATTTTCGGAACTTTTAATTTTTTGAAAATTATAAGATGATATGAAAGTTTTTGTAGATTTTAATTTTAAAAATATTTTTTAAACATTTATGATTTTTTTGTCAAATAATGTCCGAATTTTGTATTAATCCGAAATCGCAGAATATACAAAAAGAAAGCAACAAAATTTAATTAAAAAGGCGATAATATCAAACATAGCAAAGTCACTTAATATAACGAAACTAACATTTTGTGTGATATTTTTGAAAAATTACTTTTGCGAGGTGCATTAAATACAGATGGACAAAACCACTCTTTATGGGAACATATCAGAACTGCTCACACACCGAGAAAGCTCTTTTTTTATTACTACGCTCTCACTAACAATAAACTTGATGAAAAACATCGCGAACGAGGAGTGGCGAACGTTTAGCGAGGATGCACCGAAGAGCGGAAAGAATCGAATGGTCTGTGAGATAGGGAACGGTTAATCCGGTTGGAGTGGAAAGCGAAAAGACTCGAATGAGCAGTGGGATCGGAAGAATCGAATCAATCAAACGTTAACTCCCAGAACTAATTTCTTTCAACATCCTAAAATTTCTTGAACAGCGCACTGAGATTCCTTCAAACCTCCTTTCAATATAAAAATAGTAATAAAATTCTAGAATAAAGAATTTTCAAGAAGTATCGAAGTGATAAAAAATTAAACTCACTTTTAACACGGTAAAATAAACATTATTTTCTTCCCTAAAATGGGAATCGAATTTTCTGGCATGCTTCCAACAAGAGCTCTTGGCAGGTGAACTCTGAAAAATCTTTTTTTTTTTTTTTTTTTTTTTTTTTTTCCGGTGTTTGCTTCTTTACTAAAGGGAGTCAGTTTGTGAAAGATAACACAGAATCAGAGAAATAACTCATCTCTATTCCTGGCATTCTTCCAGCAAGAGCCCTTCGTGAACTATAAAAGTGCTATCACTCTGTTTCCTGGAATGAATTATTCATTCACTCAGTAAAGTGAATCAGTTCTAGAACAGATTGTCCAATTCCGATATAATTTGAGGCGTTCAGTTTAACTATGGAGCAAAAACGGCATGTCATTTCAGAAGAAGTTCATCTTTTGTCAAAAGACGTATGTTAAAGCAAAGCAATATATATAAATTCAGTATGTAGTTTGAGTCGTGCTTTCGAGACATTAAAAAAAAAAGGAAACGTGAATTTTGTTGATCGACTGAATAAAATAGGGGATATAGAACTGTCTTATCCATTTTAAACATTGTACGCATGTTACCTAAGTTATCGATACTCGAAATATAAATGCAATTAGTTAAAATTGCTTTGAGAAGCTAATGAGGTTATCACATGTAATAGCGCGTGAGGTTAGAAGAAACCTTTTCGAGAAATAAGCTTGTCCGTCGCCTACCATTGGAGAGTTTCTAGCGAAAACTTATTTCGTTGAAAGCCGCATGCGCCTAGCTACGCGGGAGTTTTAGAAACTGAACTGTAAATATTTCGTTTGAAACGGTAGCCCATGTACGATTTCCCCAAAGATTTGATTTTCGCATATGTCAACTAATCAGATATCCCAACAGTAAATTTCCTGAGAAAAGTTTCGTTGACGCGCTGTTGAGGATAGCTTGTACCTTACATACCGGTTTCAAAGATCTAAGAATTTTTGTTAGGACATAGTCTGCAGTGATTTATAGTAAATTTCAAGGTGGATCTCCAGCGGTGACGAATATTGTATTTCTACAAGTATAAAATGAATATTTCTACCAAATATGCATGCTATGTCGACCATCAGAAAATTTCATATCTTCTCTACTATATTAAATAATGAAGTTTCTGTATGTATGTATGTATGTATGTTTGTATATTCCTCTCATTGTGGAAAAACGACGGCACCTAGAGCCACCGAATTTTAAACGTGCATAGTTCTTCACCCGAACATGTGGACCTCGAATTCCGAAATTTGTATTTATTTATTTCCTGTTTTGCACTAATTTAATGAATTTTTGATTTATAAATTCAGCGATTTGTTAGCGGCACACTGTGACAACACTGTTTGAAATAAAACATTTTTATCTGCAATGCTCCAGACAGTTGCCATTCAGCAAAATGTAAGGTATTTCAATTTTAATCAACAAACTAGCTATTTGAAAGCAAAGTGTTATACTGCCTGAAATAAAATACGCTTGCTTACCTTCCACTCACCAGCGTGTTGCCATTCAATTAAGCGAAAGATATTTAACTTTCATTAATCTGTTTGTTACTAAGAAACTAAGAAATTTAGAAACTAAGTAAGAAACGCAGTTCTTAATAGTTTTTCTATTTTACAATATAATTTTTACACATAGCATTGTATGGTATAAAACATCGGTCAAAATTAGTATTTGCTAAATTTACTTATCAACAGTTATAAGGTATTTCTCCCGCTTTCTTAGCGAGCCTTCGTGGTGTAGTAGTTAGCACACATCACGAAGAGAGAGGTCCGCGGTTCGATTCCCGGCGAAAGCGTTGCTAATTTTTCATCTTGCCTGCTTTCAAAAATACCTAATGTCTCTAGACAGTATTTCAAAAAATAACTGTGTTATTAATGTTAAGAATTTATCTTTTTTACATTTCATAAAATTTATGATGCATGCTAATTATTGTCGGGAACTTTTATTTACACAGGTAAATTTATTGATTGCACCATTATTAACAATACTTGATTTTCAACTTTCAGGTCCCTATATTAAATTTTTCTTCTTTAAGGTAAATATTATAATTTTATACTGAAGAGTCCCTCCCCCGAAAAAAAAACTGGGATTCCTGTTTAATTATAGTCTATCTCTAAAATTCAGAATTGTAAAAACGGGAGGGAGCATGGACTTCGTGAACTCTCTGAAGACTCTAGAGATCGAAAACATGTCTGTCTACAATTATGCAATATTCATAATTAATGGATTGAATTTACTTTGAACTAATCGTTGCATGGCATCCAAAACTTGCTTGACTGTGTTCATATCTGGTTAATGGGGGGGGGCGTTTCATGGTTCTAAACACAAACAAGTCTTTTTCTAATCATTACTTAATGGTTGCGGACATGTGAAGGGGACAACATTTTCTAGAAAAAGGTCAAACCCTATAATATGAACTAAAGTAACACGTCTGAAAGGTATTACATAATATTCCGATCAGAGAAAGTTACAGAAAGTCAGAGAAAGTCTAAGGGACTTTAATTCGTTCCAGTTCAACCAACAGTTACCTTTACAGTACCTTTAATGTGCTGGATACTTTTGATTAATAGGACTTTTTTTCACACATGAACTATTCACTCAGTGCAAATCATATGGCTCGACGAGGTGACTCGAAATAAAAGGTGACTCGTTTCCAGTTTTCCAAAGTCAATTGGCGGTGTTTCCGAGCTCAGACGAGGTGTAAAATACTTTTTGTCATAGGGTAAGCACGGATGCATGAGTACGTCTTATTTTTCATATTCGACCATTTAAATAATTGTTTCGTACACTTGCTATTTTCAGGTGCCTTGAATACGAGAATTCTAGTAAAACATCGTACATATGGCAATAACTTAACTGTCAAAAGACTGAATAACCATAACAAGTTGTCAAGAGTCATTTCACAGATGAGGATTCACACTATTGCAAATAACATCGCATTTTAATATTGGAGGCTATTCATATTTTATTACAGGTCATGTTTCAATACTGTTCTTGATTAAGCAACAAGACACTCGGATTGGGCGCTAGTAATTAAAAGCAGTATTGTACAATTTCACACCAGTATTGAAATGAGATTGTATTTGCGATAGTGCTCGACTTTGATCCATAAAAAAAAATGATTCTTGACAGCTTGTTTTTTCATATTCATTTAGTCTTTTGACGGCTAAATTGTTGCCATATGTTCGATGCTTTACTAGAATTCTCGTAACCAAAGTACCTGAAAATACGAGTATATGAAATTTAGTTATTTAAACTGGTCGAATGTGAAAACTCAAACGTAACTTGTGTCTCCGAAATGCCGTGACTACGAGCACTTACTTCTATATTTCTTTGAAAGTTGTTTAAATCGGGATAATGTACTAGCTTAATTGTGCCCTCATAGCTCATAATAGATGTCTGACGTTATGCATACCCTGCTTATAAATGGAATCGTTTACAAGAAATAGCTTGTTGCTAGCTCTATCCCAGTTCTTCTTGCACTTCAGTATATGCTGATACTGCGTATAATATTCAATACAATGTTCAAATGGGCTGTGGAAGTTGATTTATAACAAGGAATCAATATCAACAATATGTTCGGATGGTAAGATAAATCAGTCCGAGTTTGGTGGGCATATAAATAAAGTAAAAATTCGAAAATTCTTAACAAAAACTATAATTTTAGGCCTGCTATTTGTTACAAAGAACATATGTGCCGTTCCCTGCCTTGTGGAGCTGCGTTTTCGGCATGCGGGAAGTACATTGCTTCTGGAAGCGAGGATAAATCGGTGAGATATTTTGAGTTGAGTTTTTTCAAATTGGATGATTTATAAAAATTTTAAGATATAATAAGTACTATAAATTGAAGTAAAGCTCTCATTCAAGTGGTCATAATTTATATCAACATGCTTTGTTTTTCTAGGTGTTTGTTTATGATTTGAGACAAATTACTCACGCATATAGATTAAATGACCATCAGATGGATATTGTCACTAGTGTAGCATTCGTACCAAAAAATTCTCAAGTAAGTAATTTCGTAACAGTATAGAGATGACAGTCTAGAGCAGGAGTTCCCAACCTTTTTCCTACATCGACTCCTTTTAAAAGAATGATTTTCTTCATCGACCCCTTACATTTTTATCTAAAATATACAGCACAGAACGTAATTTATAATACTAACAGTTACACGTAAAACACTTAAGGATAGCATTTTGATTGAGAATAGTAACAAAAAATTAGAAAAAGTAGTTCATTAGCTTTATGTTTTATAACTTTTGAAATATTTTCATTTTTAATTGCACAAAAGTTCGATTTCAATTAATGTAGTAATTGTGCTTGATGCACTGATGCAATTTTTTTTAATGTTTGCCCTGAAATTGCTTATCATAGTATAGTCATATTAACTAACATAACGAATATAAATATGCATTTTACTAAAAAGTCTTACTGACTTATATGTAATTATAATATAATTTTTTTAATTATATGTGATGGTTGTGGTTGGTACTTTTCCATAATGCTTTTTATATTAGCTGTGGAATTAGTTAAAAATAATCGTAAATCACCGCGTTCTGTAACATTTAATCGATTTCTAGTTTTTCTTAACAAATTGTTAGCTTGACTAAATCCTTCCTGAATCAAGTAAAAGCTAAGAAAATCTAGAAAAACGGTTGTGTAATATGGGTTAATTTGACTTTTTTTTTTTTTTTTTTTTTTTTTTTTTTTTTTTTTTTTGAGAATATCTTTAAAATTCCAAAATTTGGTATAATCACAATTTTGAAAATTCATTTTATTTTCCATATTCTCCTTTAATTCAGAAAATGTTTCTTCTTGTAACGAAAAATCAGTATTGGTTGAGTCGCTTTCAAATTAATTTATAATCCAAGACGGGATATCCAAATTTTCCAAATCTTCATAACAGGCATTGATATCTTCTTTTAATTGTTTCAAGTGATTATTGTAGATTTGAATGTCATCACCATTAATCTTATCCTTTTCAACAACAGAAAGCTGCGTCAGATGTTCAAAGTATCGAAAATCATTTTGATTTAAAGTGGAAATAAACAAATCCATTTTGGAGCGAAACCCAAATTTCGAGTTTCGAATTTTCGAAATTTCGAAACCAAATTCGAGTTTGAATGAGATTCACGTTTTCTCATTTAATTCATTTTGCTTCAAATAAATAAAATATGTCTATATTATAAAATATATTCTTAAATATATCTATATTATATAATATGATTAAATTTAGAAAATATGTCTGCTAAAACTTATATGCTTTTTTGATTCAACATTTTTGTTGCCGTTAATTTTCAAGAGAAACTCTATTACAGAATTAAAGGTTTCAACGGAAGGTGCAAAGAATTGCCTTTCGATAACTTACGAAATTCTGTATGAAGAAGTAAATTATCATAAGTTCATCATTACTTTCGCATAATTGAGCAAAAGTCTATCATTCCTTAGCTTTAATTGTGTTTGTTCCTTTAATGTACAAATGCAAAACAGAATCAGGATTTTCTCACAATTTTTGGCATTTAAATGTTGCCGATGGAAAAAGCAGTACACTACTGTCAAAATATCAATAACTCTAAAGGAGGAAAAAAAAAAAGAGAGAGAGAGAGAGAGAGAAAAGAAAAGAAAGAAAGGTTTCAGATTTTAAATTACGTCCAAAGAAACTTTTTTTAACATTTCGTTTCTTACCTTTATTTATTTAAATATCATGTGTTTATTAATGCATGATATTTATTATTACATTTTGTGTGTTTTATTAAATATCATATTCTTCTCACTTGAACCATAAAATTCAGTTCAAGAGCAATAGAGCAAAATAATTTTAAAATGAGCTTATCTTTAGAATTTCCGATACACAGTCTGGCGCGCTGGAGATAAATAAATAAATATATATATATTCTGTGCAACGTTGCCATTGCTCGCTTTGAAATCCTTGAGTTTGTTAATCAAAAATTCGTTAAAGTTTTACAAAATATGAAATATATAATAAAACAAATTCCAAATTTCAAATTTGGGCTTCCACATGCCCATATCCGCTGGAGGATTACGTTATTCAAAATTGGATGGCTCTAGGTACCATCGTTTTATCACAATGCGAGAAATATATATACATTCAAGCAGATTCTTCATTATTTAATTTCTTTAAGTATAATACAGGGTGATAATTTTTGGTGGCTACAATTTGAAAAGCGAAACAACGTTTGCAGTGAATCGACGCAAAATGCCAAAACAAAATTAATAGTCCTTCTGGGCAAATTGCCCCTTTAGACTAAAAACCCTCAATATTTTTCCATCATTGATGATGCACCATCGGAAGATGCAGCAGTAATATTAGTTGTAAAAATTTCATTTTGTTGCAAAAAATTTTCAAAACAATTAAATATATGTTAACCAGAGCATGTTTGTAACAGTTCTGCTGTAAGAAATTCCTCTGTCGTTTCTCCTAGTCTGGAGCTATAATACCAAACATATAACATCAAAATACTGTTTCTACCAAAATTTGATTCATCCAACTGCACAGAAAATTTTCTTTTCCCTAATTCGCTAATTAATGATTCTTTAGTAACCTTCTGACATTTCATCTATATGACGTTGTATGGAGTTATTACTGAGCGGAAATTTTGAAACTGGTTCAAGGCCTATTTTCATGACAGTTTTTATTACCTCTTGTATTCTTGGTAATATTATTTTTTCGCCAGTGGTATGTGGATATCTAGCTTTCGCAATAAGCAAAGAAATACTGTAAAAGTTTTGCATTATTTACAGAAGTAAACTTCTTAAGAAATGATTTAATCCCCATTTTAGAACGATATGCAAATTTTTCTTTAAGATTTTTGAAATAACCTAAATTCATATCTTTTTTTTAGCAGGATGCATTCTTTCTATATGGTCTTTCATCTTTGATTGTTTTATATAGTCATTGCTGAATGTTTTTTCACAGATCAAACATCCTGGGAGACAATCGTTCCCTGGAGACGCAATGAAACCAAATTCATGAGAATACTGCCGACACTTTTTTTTTTTTTTTTTTTTTTTGGCAAGCGACATGGCTGATGAATAGTTGAGTATATATAATAGTTTTAAAAATTTAATAATGAAAACACAAATTAATAATATCTATGCAAAGAACAATTTACAAATATGTTTGTGCAGATTATTTAACAGTGAAATAATTTGAAACGTCTTACTATACTATACGCCGAGAAGACTACAGACAACTAATATTAGAAGGGAACCCTTAAACAGGCCGTTTTAATTGTGCGTTGAAGGGAATTTCCCCAGTCCTGCCAAGCAACCGAAAATAATTCAGCTTCAAAAAAAAATTTGAAAAACATCGCCCAGAGAAAAATGAAACTGCTTCTGATTGGTTCCATGTGGAGGACCCATGTTCTGTTTAAGGTCCTGTGGTTTTCCCAGTCCTGCCTATTGTTGGTACACAAAATCCAACAGCGGCATTCGACACATACATAAAAGCATCATAACATTCGACTTAGTTGCGTGGATCCCTCCGCTCTATGCAAATCCGTATTTATACATATTAAAACGATTATTATTATGTAATAATTACGTTCCTAAAAATTAAAACAAAAAATTTTATCATTGACCCCAGTAAACCCCTGGGAACAATATAGACCCATTTTACTCTTCCATCGACCTCCAAGGGTTCCATTCCACTTGGACCTCGTTGAGAATCTCTGATCTGAAAAGTCTTATTATGTAAATTACTTTTCCTTTCATATTAGTTTGTGGATTTTTATTATTTTTTAATTAATATATATATATTGATATTTCTTTCAGATTTTAACATCATCATTAAATGGGATAATTAACTTATACGGAAGAAAAGATAAGCAGTAAATTATGTAACAGATTTATGAAACTGTATTATATTATTTTTTTCATAATAAAAGACTAAAAAGGAACTATGAAACTTTATTATAATAGTAATAATTATTTCCTGAATGCAATATTTAACCTTTTTTTTTTTTTTTTTTTTTTTTTCATTAGTATGAAAATCTTTCTCTGGATGAAATTTCTGTTTCTAGGTACAAATTTTTTATCCTTAGGTTCTTCGAAAGGATTTAAATTGATGCTCTGTGCCATAATGACGCGTTACTTTAAAGAACGAGATTAGTGGTATGAACGTGAAGAAATCTACAATTAAACAAAAAAAAAAAAAAAAAAAAAGATTACCATTACGCCCTACTAATGCAGGGTGTAGGGGAAAATGAATATTTGGGTTTAAAGCTGTTTAATTTCACTGTTGTATTGTAAGTTAAAGAACTTAACAATAATGAATTATACATGAAATGAAATAACAAATATTTTTTCCCTCCAAATGTTTAATGTAAGAACCTTTCGTCATGCGGCACATATCTGATTGATAGGCGAGTTCTTCCCAGACTTAAATCAACATGTCTGGAATAATTGAAACGGTATCTGCTTTAATTCTGTGTTACAATTCAGGTAATAGTGGGTGTGCGTAGATAGCATGCTTAGTTAGCGTAATAATAAACAAGATGCATTTATTAACGATAGCGTTTAATTATTTCTTCTTAAAAACAATAGAAACAGTTATTACATCGAGTACATTTTGTAAGGAAGTATTCTTCGCTCAGTGGAGTATACCAGTTGCCAATTACCGAGAAACTAATACATTAGTTTCATGTTGCCAGATCTAACAGATTAACATAATAAATGCACAATAACAAAAATGCTACGGAAGAGTCAAAGGATAAAGTTACAACTACGGAACAGTAGGAAAATTGCAATACTTAGCAACGCTACAGCATCTTTGACAAAATTCTAAAAGGGAAATTTCCCTTTTAGACTTGTGCTTACAAGTCACATTGTAAGCATTTATTTTAGGCTAACCAGTTACTTTTGGTTTACTGTCCCTCCTGATTTCGCTCCTGAAATAAATTTTGCATGGCGTAGATGCCAATTCTAAACGCGTTTCAGAAGCAGTATTTAAACTACGTGTGATGAGTCCAAAAGCAGTAGTAGCGGACTTAGTTCCGGTGTTTATGCTGCGAGTTTTAAAATTAGCTCTCCAGTTCGGCGTTCGACACCTTTCAGTTTATACTGATATTTCTCGGCTCGGCTTTGCTGTGTGCAGCCGATTTAGCGTTAGTTTAAGCTAAGGAGCCGGTCATTAGAATTTCTTAATATACTAGTGATTTATTACATTCTTCTTTTCCTATTAAAAGGCACTATGAATTAGCCACAAGTGGTGGTGATTTATGAGCACGAAGTGAATGCATCTGGTTTAATTTAGTTTTAAATATAAAGGTCATTCTTTCTTCTGCAGTATTTATTCTTAAAGACAGCAAGAATTCTACTTCTTCTTCATTGTAGAGTTCAATGTGTATGTTACCAAAGAATACACATAAACTCTATAACATGGAGGTCAAATCGAATGACCTTGGGAGCTGCGAGAAACAACCCTGTCATTCGGACTATGCCAACAAATTCAGCGGTTGGCCACTATTTCATTCAACCATTTCCATATAAAGACACGCCAATGAAACGGGGAACGGAAATGCTGGCAAATCCATCTTGCTGGCAAATGCTTGTTTTTGACGAATCATGCTTGCAGCATATCCAGACATGTCCTGTCATACTTGCTTCAGTGTAAAAAAAATAACTTACTGTCGGAATACTGCACAAAAAACATTAACTTTTGAGAAATTTCATTCGCATATTATGCGGTCATGGAGACTTTCGGACCTCCAGATAGGAACATATTATGCGCGGATCTGACGCATAAGGAGGAAATGAAGATTCATTACTAAACATAGTTTGATACTCAAAGTCATCTTCTTCATGCTGCAACATTTACGTTACAGCCAACCTTGAAATATGGAAAACCAGCAGGCACCATTTCAAAAGAACTCCAAACTTAAATTTAAATTTGCTCTATAATGCATAATTCAACTGTTCATACTATGATTCTGTTATAAAATAAATTAAAATTTAATTAAATATTCTAAGTTTTATATTTTTCGACTAATATCATTTTGTAATTTTCTTGCACTTTTATACCGAGAAAATCCTGAGTAAGGAAGGAAAGCTTAATTTATCAAACTACTTTTAAACATGATGAAAATAAAATCAATAATTAATATACATACTATTTTGTGGATAAAATTAGTAATGTACCATACGTTAACGTACACCAAAATACAAATATAAACTATCAATAATAATTAAACACTGGTTGAATCTTCATATAACGTTCCACAAATGTCTACAGTTAATTAAAACAATTCAGATCAAATGAAGTTTAATAAGGAAAATTGTGCTGAAAATCTCTAGGGGTGGGGAAATGAAATTTGCACAACTTTAATCTTCATTAATCAATATTCATCAGAAGAGAGCGGGGAGCAACAATCACAGTTCCAGTACCATTCAAAAGTCTACCTGGAGGTGGAGAAGTTCTCCTTTAAAGAGACAGACACACCAGACGAAGGACCTCCGACCCAGGTTCTCATTATACGGAGTTTGGAGAGTTTGGAATATCCATCGTCCATGGGACCTCGTACCCGCGGGCGCAACCTCTGCAGTTCCCGCCAGGCTTTTACAAAGCATTGGGGAGAACTAAAACGTTGCAAAATCAAAAACTCTGTCGTCCGTGGGACCTAGTACCCGCGGGCGCAACGTCCGCAGTCCCCGCCAGGCTTTTACGAAGCATTGGGGAGAACTAAAACGTTGTAAAATCAAAAACTCTGTCACTTTGCCTCCGGGGCCCACTCCTTCGGCAAAATTTCATTGTTAATCGGTGCTCTGACCACCCTGTCAGTCCCCGCCACGAGAACTGAAAGGGGTCAAACCCCCGGGGACTTAGTCGACGATCTTCAATATAGCTCCACCACAGCCAGAGGAACAGACTAGTACCTCCTACATACATGTATGTAGGAGGTACTGAACAGACACGACAGTACCAGTACGGTTTCTGCCAAGCCTGAACCAACCTGAGTACAATACTCGGGCTTTAGTCCTGTGAAGTCGAATTATATACCCCCGTGGTTGAGACTGCCTAAGTACAGATTCTAACCAGTACTTCCCAAGCGTTAGCCTAAGTCAACCCCCGGGGGGGGGGCCTTTAAAGAGACAATAATTTGCTGGCCGCATGGAACTCTGCGTCTTCCACTGGATTTTAGTCATCTCAGACATTACTGTAGCAAGGTTCTTGTATTTCGCATTAGCCTTTCTAGGTATGTTCTGGGACATAACTGCCTCTTCATAATGTGCATCGCACAGTGGCTGTTACTGAACTATCGGAGAATCAATGCATCACATTTACTTGCATATCCCCCCTTCTTTTTGTTAATTTTATTGTACGAAAATCGTGCGAGGGGATCGTAATTTTAATAGAGGGGGGGGAGTTATGAGAAGGATTTTATTTTGAACTACACAGTAACAGTAAGAGCATAACAAATGTAAAGTATTCTTTGGCAAAATACTTATAACTACCACAATATCATTTACTTAAAAGAAACTAACATAGCATTAAAAATGCACAGTAATATCAACATTACAATATCTAATAAGATATTTTCAGTAAGATTCCTGTACCTTGAGTGTCCTCTGCTAAACCCAGGCTTCAGATCATTCAATGCTGCTGGAACTGCTCTTAGTGTTAGAACCAAGCCTCAGGTGTTATCTTTCTTTCATAGTTTGTCATTGTAAGAGTGGCAACCATCTGATCTTTGTTGTAGTTCTACGGATTTTGAAAACAAGCATGAGGCTTTGGAATATTAGATGTAAAACTGTTTTATTTTAAGTTTATTAGGAGAAAGGAGAACAGTTAGTGCTTGCAAATCTCGAACAGTTGCTGACGAAGGAAGTGATCAGTGAAACAAGTCAAGTTGTTTTATCGAATTTTATTTTACTTCATTTTATTGAACTCATTTTCATTGAAATGAAATCGTTAGTTGAGAAACGAAAACCTGTCAGAGCGTCTTTTACGAAAACAATTCATGCAATTTTGCAGGAATTAGAAAAGGAAATTCCTGATGAAAAATCTGTGAAAACGAAACTTTGTACTTTAGAACGTTTATCCGTTGAACTTGATACATTTGATACTCAGATATTAAATTCAAAATTTTCTTTAAATGATCAATTTGAAAGTTAATGGGTAAAAGTTGAAGAATACAAAGAAAAATTAGATTTATTACGTGTAGAAACGGAATTATTCTTCAGTCGCTAAATGACACAATCCATTGGTAGTGTGCCTCCAAATTCGAACAAACGGAAACTGAATAGAGTTAAAACAATTCGGTGGTGAAATTAAAGATTGGCTACCGTTTTGGGGACAAATTTCGGCGAATACATGAAGATAAAGAAATTTAAAACGAGAACAAGATGCATTATCCCGGTACGAGACCACGTGATATTGTAAACAGCTTCCCTGCAACTGCCGAAGATTATGAAAAACTTATAGAAAGCTTAAGAAATAGGTTCAGCAGGGAAGAATTATTGGTAGAATTCTATATTCGGGAATTATTAGGTCTGATTATTAAAAATGTTACTCATCAAAAGGATTAGGTTAGGTTATTTAATTACGACAAAGCCTCGAGGGCTATCTGCCTAAGGGGAGGGATGCCTTCGTGGAGCCCTATCTAAGGAAAACTGGCTCTCTGATCAAAGAGAAAATGCAGTATATCCGAATTGTCTGACAAGTTAGAGTAGTATTTACGTTCGTTGGACTCCATAGTAATGAAAAGCGACAAATACGCTACAATGTTGTTTCCGTTAATTGAATCCTGCATTCCCGAGGAAATTTACGAGTTTGGCTTAGAAATCATGCATCAATAATTACAGTTGAAAATTCTCACTTAGAAAGTGAAGCAGTTATTATTGTTTTTAAAGAATGAAGTGGAAGGAGAGCAGAGAATTTCTTTGGAAATGCTGGATTTTAATTAAT